TGCGCGACATGGGGTAGAGCAACTACGACACAAGAGAAAATAGGACGAGAAACTTTTGGGACAACTAGGATCGTGATCTTCGAGATCACGATCTCAATTTGTTCTAGAAATTTCTCATCTCTTTTTTTTTTACCCGCACACACATACATTCACATACACCCACATACGTCCACATACATTCACAAACATCCGCACACATTCACACACATACATACAAACATACACATATATCCACACACATTCACAAACATTCACATACATTCATAAACACACATACATTCTTACACATTCACACACACACACACACATTCATCCACACAAATTCACATACATCCACGCACATTTACATGCATTCCCACACATCCACATACATCCAAATATATTCACATACATCCACACATATTCACATACATCCACGCACACTCACACACATTCATCCACAAAAACTCACATACATCCACACACATTCACACGCATTCACATATATCCACACATACTCACACACATTCACTCACACAAATTCACATACATTCACACAAATTCACATACATTCACACGCATTCACTTATATCCACACACATAAATCCACATACACCCACACAAATTCATATACATCCACGCACATTCACATACATACGCATGCACACATACATACATGCACATGCACACAATAAGCACATTCACATACACATAATCACATATTTATTTGTATACGCAGAATGTATGTTTTTGCTTTTTTTTTTTTCAGTAATTATTCTAATCATTAAAATCTATCGCTTACCGCTTTTCGTTCTATTGGATTGGCCTTCTTTGATGATTGCTTTTTCCAACGCAAATAAATTTTTTTTTGAAATTACCTGTAATAAAAAAAAAATGCTTTTTTCCCCTACAAACAATTCATCAAATAATGTAGCACGACGCCTTTTCCCTCCCCCTCCCTCCTGCCCCTCCCCTCTCCTCCCTGCCTCTCTTGCTCCTCCCTATCCCTCCTCGCCCCTCCCCTCCCTATCT